TCCTGACGAAGGCGCTGCACTATCCGGCCTTCAACCGGTGCTCCGTCGCAATCGGCCAAGTGCGCCTGGCAGACGTGGGCGACGGCGACAACGACGTGCAGCAGTAGGTGCCATGCCCTTTTGCATGGCTGGTGCGGTGGACGACGTGCTATGTGTTGGATGCACGTCGACGAGCTAGTCTCCGAGCTGTACTGCCGTGTGGGCTGGGTGCCCAAGCGTGAACGCGGCAGGGGAGTGTCAACGGGAGTTGGGTATTGGCCCCGTCCTCGCTTGGGCGGAGCCGACTTCGTGGTCGGGTGTGAGGGGAGCAGCCGACCTGCAGCAGTGGGTGAGCTGGTCGACGAGGAGGTCGACCTGCACGGGGGACCACTGCACGGGCGCCGACTTCAGGGTGGCGCCGACTTCAGGGAGGTCGACTTGGGAGTCGACCCGCGGAGGACGTCGACTTGGTGAAGTCGACTTCGGCGGTCGGCTAACGGACCGCTGGTCGACCCGCGGGTGGTCGACTGGACCTGGTGGTCGACGAAGGAGGGACCGACGTCGACCTTGACTCAGTACGCCGAGCAGTTGGGCGTCGAGTAGCGGGACGTCAACTTCGTGACGCCCGCTTCGGGTGGCCAATGTGGGTGGTCGGCCGACGACTGTGCTGGTCGACGAGGAGTAGGTCAACCAGGAGTGCTGGTCGACGTGGAGCTGGTCGACCAGAGGGGACGTCGACCTGGACGAGGTCGACCGATGGTGTCGTCGACCTGGTGAGGTCGACGTGGAGGTGGTCGTCGACTTGGGAGGTCGACGGGCACGAACGGGAGCTGCTGGTCGACGTGGTTGCCTGGTCGACCAGGTTACCTGGGTGACGAAGTGCTGCGGAGGAGTGCGACGGTCGCCTAGGCGAAGTTGGCGAGCCCGACCTCGGTGGTGGTATCCCGAGGTCGTCGTGGCGGATCAGAGGCAGTTGTCAGCTCAAGGTTGACGTGGTGTGTGCGCTGTGCAGGTGACGAGACTCTGCACGCCAATCATCTGTGCGCAACTGCGAAGCAGGGTGTACTGCTGTCCTGCGTGAGCAACATTGTCACGCCGTCAACCTGCGACGTTGGGACGCCGTCGACCTTGCCTTGCTGGAGCGCGGTCGACCAAGTCCTGCTGGCGCGCGGTCGACCAAGCTGCGCTGGCAGTTGGCCGACCTGAATGCTTGCTCTGATGTAGTCTTGCTATGCCAACTTCATTGTACTCATTGTTATGAAATTTTCCTAGTGAAACTCTTGCCAATTTTCCCCGTGAACCAAGCAAGTAGTGTGTGCACAAGGAAAACGACTAAGGACTAACGAACGCAGAGATCACACGAGCACACGTGCCTAGCCCGTAGCCTAGCTCCCGTTGCTGCAGTTATCTCCGCAGTGTACATTCCGGATTTTTTACGAGGTACATGATCGTTGCAAGGCACATCACCTGGAAAGGGCGTTACCAACTGTTGCGAAGGTTTCAGCATCTAATGCGCAATGGATAATATCATGGCAAAATGGTGTTGGCGAAAATGAGGCGTTACTGTTTGACGACTTTGACGGGAAGCAATTTGTGAGACGAACCTTCGGATGTGTTACGCACGTCCCGGTGTACGTTTCCGGAATGAGCTCATTTATGTACAGTCTCAAGTCAAACTGATTTCGTACGTCACACTGATTTCGTACGTACTTATGGTAACTGACCTGAAATACTCCGTACATGTACAATGTTTGACCCGCCCTAAACTTGCCAATTCGCCCATCGTTTACACCTAGGCCAAAGCTGTATCTAGGCAATCCGTGTTCGGACGTGCCTCCTTCATAGCTTAGGTGCCGAACCGAATGTACGCGATTGTACAACGATGTTACATTTTCGGTCTACAGAGTCAGAAACATAGGAGGATGCCAGCTCAACAGAATAGCATATGAAATAGCTCTGAACACAAACTCGAATTTAGTATGCATGATCTAACAACCCTCGTACACTCACACCTGTTATTTGCAGCCTCCCTGCATGTCAAGCTGGTTACGGTGCACTGATATGCACCCATCCAGCTATTCTGGAGAATTTTGTGGCGCACAGGTGTCATCATCTTGGTGAACTGTCACGTGATGCGCGAACATCGTGTAACCCAACTGTAGATCTGGCATCCGTAGGGGGGTGATGTGACTAGTTCTGCTGCCTTCTTGCCATAGACTATAGCGATGACGAGAATTCGCTCGCACAGGAACCCTACCGGTTTTAGTGAACTGTTTCCACCGTATCCGGGAGATAGAACACCTGATTTAGAGATCCCTTCCGTGAACTAATCTCGCGCCGACCATGCCTCCGAAAAAAGCACTATGCCGGAACCAAGAATCGAGCGATTACTCGGAGGCCGAAGTTAGAGAAGTAGGTGCGACACGCACGCGTACGGGAAGGACCGCCAAACAGAAAAAAGCAAAATATGACGGCGGAGGATGTGGAGGAAGAGATTATGGAAGATGTTGACGCGACCGTAAGCGCACCTGCTGAACTCCCTCAGCCCGACGATCTGGTGGCGGCGTTGGAGAAGAATTATTACAAAGTAAAATATCGCAACATGGAGCTAACGAATCTGCAGAGATTCACTCTACAACGGTAGTGAGCTAGACTACAGGGTTGGCACGAACTACTAGAGGTGATCGTAGCTTTGCTTGGTTCCTTAGTGCTTGCACATTCACGGGAGAAATTGGCAAGAGTTTCCACTAGCAAAGTTTAGAATCCCAGAATAATACAAGAAGCAATGACAACAATGACTACATCAGGCACCTAGCAACCCTACAGCTAGCCTGGTCGACCGCCAGCCAACATTACGTAGAGAAGCCGCGCCAGCACTGCAGAAGGGCGACCTGCCAACAAAGCAGGTCGACGGCATGCCCCGTAGAACACAGCAGTGCGCGCGCTCGCAGGTGTGCAAAGACGATTGGCCCGACTTGCCTCGTTGGGCATCCGTCGGCTGTTGTCTGCGCCTGACGAGCCACATCGACTTCGGGATACCAGTCCGAAGTCGCCTGCGCCATCGCGATCTCGACGACGTTCGCGAGCCTTCGCAGAACTCGTCGAGCAGGTTACCCGGTCGACCTGGTCGACCCCTGGTGCTCTGGTCGACCCCCAGGTGCCTCCGGTCGACCACTGGGTCCCTCTGGTCGACCACCAGGCGCTCCTGGTCGACCACAACTCCCGTCGAGCTACCCCCTGGTCGACGGACCCGTTCCGTCGACCAGAACTGCTCTGTCGACATCCCGGTCGAACTGTAGGTCGACGGGATGCTCCCCAGACCTCCCGGTCGAGTTGCAGTTCAACGGGATGCTCCGTAGACCTCCCCGTCGAACTGTAGGTCAACGGACTGCTTCGTCGACCTCCCAGACAGCCCACTCGTCGCACAGACCAGTCAATTGCAGCTGTTGAGCTCCTTGGTTGACAGCAACACCACAGCGGTCCGCTGTAGCTCGACGTAACCTGTCGAGTAGCTATCCCACTGTGAACAGTTGGCTGCTACTCCCTTGCATCCGACCAAGTCGTCGGCGTTGCCCAAGTGAGGGCGGGGCCAACACTCCATTCCTGTTAACATAATCATCGGGGCGTGGTCAGCACAGTCGACAAGAAGGACCTCGCCTCCATCGCCGACATCACATGGTTGACAGACGGAGTGGTCGACTTTCACAACGTGTGAGTAACGCTGCCGACGCGCTACCTGCGCGTCGTGTATGTGGCGCCTAGACTTCGCATCAGCATGATCTCATGGCCCCTTGTTCCGGCAAAACACCCACGTGTCCGTCATGTGCTTTCAGGCTTCTAAGTATCCGTGTTTCGAAGTTGTCAAACAGGAAGACATGGGCGGCGCTCGATTGCAACACTTTTGCGAACACCACTGCTCACAACACGGCAGTCAATGTTGGAAACGGCATGCCGCTCTGAGCACGACTACCTTGCGGTCCCTGTCTACAGGGGGTAATTATCAAGCCACTTGACCTGTTCAACAAGAGCCGTAGGGTGCATGCATTCTTTATGCGCGTGACTAAACACCGTCCTTTCCTACCGCATCCCTCCCTGCAGAGAGCACTACTCAATGGTGATAGTCGTCATATCACCCCACCGGCTGGTGGATAAGAGGTCAAGGAAGGATAGCCCGCCGCAGGAAATGGTGTTGTTCGACAGCTCCAGGGCCCCCATGAGTACACAGAAGGTTTTCAGTGGCGTGAAGGTGTAAGTGTTTGCTTTGATAGTGGTACTACAGTTGTTATTTGCACATGCGTGGCTATGACCGGGTTGTGTTCTCCGAGATGTTCCGCAGGGTCTTGTCAACCATGGCCAGGACGACTCATCCACATGTAGACATGGCGAAATTTTAACAGCCGCTGAAGGACGTTCCCTGCCATGTCCTCACCGTAAGTGTGACTTTCCTGGTTTTTTTGGTGGACAGATGTTGTTATACAAATTTCAGAATTGACCACCAGGTGTGCGGTTTCTTTGCGCGCAGGAGAACCACATCCCCAAGCAAGAGAATGGTCATGACTGTGGAGTCTTTGTTTGCCACTACTTGAAAACTTTGGTCTACTCCGACTTCGCCAACGTGAAGAGTGGCCTGTGGTTCAAGGGGGTCAGCGCGCTGCAGTACCGCCGCATCATGCGCGCTGATTTATGTGCACACGCTATGGGAGAGTTGCTCCGGAAGCTATATGAGGATGGCTTGGATGTTCCTTCTCAGCCAAGCGGCTTGACCACCAACACGACTTTGAGGGAGGGTGCGACGGAAGGACGTGAGAAAGAAGAACATCGTATAGACCAGCTCGAGGCGGAGGTGTGCTCGTTAAAGCGAGGTCAGTGCGATGACTGCAGGATTCGCCGCAATTGGTAGTGTGCTTGGGATGTCGAGGGAGCAGTTGATCTCAGCAGGCGAAAACATGCTGCGGCAAACTGGCGTCACTGAGCAGGGATCGAGGGGTACGGATGGGCGCAAGCACGGACCGCACACTCCAATGCGGCCATCAGGCTACACGAAGCAGGTGAACGACAACCCAGACGAGGATATGATGGGCTCGAACACGAGAGTGTCGCTCGACAGCAAATTCGCGTCGGCCGTTGGTGCGTACCCCTGTTTCCCGGCACCTCTGCCAATCCCCGAGACGGTTCCACACTGGCTGCTGTCACGGCAGCAGGCAACTGCGGTTTCACTAGTCCAGCCATCCTATCTGGTGTACGGTATGGCGCAGAGCGGTGCGGGCGCACACCCCGGCTTCATAGCTGTACCTAAGCAGGAGACATTGGCGGGAGGAGAGGATTCGGAGGAAGATGGAGAGGGCGAGAACGAGCCAGGAACAAAGCCGACCAAGTACACAGGGGTCTATGTGGAGGCCGATACAGGCAAGTATGGGGTGAAGATCGTCGCAAAGGACAAGGAGGGGAAGAAGATAACGAAGAGAGTCGGCGCGTACACCACGATAGAGGAGGCAGCGTATTGCTACGCGGCAGCTGCCCACGTGCTGAGGCCTGGTAAAGGCACCCGGAACTCTGTGGCTTTAACACCGGCTGATAAGGCAGGTTTGAAGGGGTGCACTCCCGAAATCCTGAAAGTAATGGTGGATGCCCGCATGTGGTGGCGCTGGAGGGTATGGAGGGAGACTTACGAAGGTCTGATGCGGAAGGCAGCGCGCACAAAGAAGAATGCAACACGTGCAAAGAGGGGGAGACCGCGCAAGGGGAGTGGTGATCAGGGTGGGGGCACGGCAGGGGAGGGTGAAGGCGAGAAGGCTGGCAGTGAGGACACCGTAATCGTTGCCCACGAAGCAGAAAACAGCAGGATGCGTAAGATGGCCCGCGGTGCAGAGGCAAAGTCTTTCGAGGACAAGACAGATGAAACTGGTCGTGGGAGGCAGAAGGATGGTGCTTGGGATAGCAGTGGGAAATGATAGTGGATCATGGGGTAGAGAAGGCTTCCCTGGAGGATGCATGTACGCATGTGTGGTTTGTACTTTAAATGAAGTGTGGCATTAATAGGTTGATACTGCGGTGTTTCCTCTGTTGAATGTTTAATTGGTATGAAATAGCTAGCAAGAGAAGGAACTATTGTAGCAGGACTCGGAAATGGTATCGAGAGTACGGGTGGTAGGATGAAAGTTGACGGTGATCAGTGGATGAATTGTATTCGCTAACCAAGATTACAGAAATCGAGGAGGTCATTTTCCAGTGGATGTCGGTGATTGCGTTTATCCTAATGGGCGGCAACGGTTTCGCTCGATGGTTGTGGACGTTGTTGAGCAAGGTTTACGCGTTACCGTATACTTTGCAAGGTCAATCCGAGTACTTAGGCTAGCGTGCCGTGCACGCAAACAATGTCAGCTGTTAACAATGGAGACTTCCGTTGCTTCTAAAGATACTAGCAACGCGGGGCGTGCACGGCGAGTGTCCCAGCCCCCGGCGTACCTGCGCGCGGCATATCAGCTTGCAACTCCTCGGGGGCGCATGCCAAGGGGGACTCGCGCAACGGCCTTGCCAAAGATTTTGGCCATTACCAGAGCAGATGCTGGCGGGAAAGCAATTCGTGATGGTAATGATGGTTTGATGTGCTGGTTGTACGAAATGTATGACGCTGCTTTAGCGTTTTGTGGCCGTTTTGATTAAGAAAGTGTTGTCTTCCCCCCTACTTCCGCCTTGGAGCTTGTGTTGCCCGGATTTAACTGTCTCCTCCGCCTACATTCACACGTCTACAGATAATACTGGGGGTGAGACATCGAACGCTTCTCCCGGCAGGGTCAGCAAACAAGCGCTGGTGAGTGACTCGCCCGATTCGCATTCCAATAGCGACGCTGCTCCTCGTCAGGCGAACCGGAATCAAGGCGAGGACGTAGAAGGGGGCAAACAGGCACACATTGTGAGCAATACAAACGCATCCAAAGAGGAGGATGACGAGGATGTGGGTGACGCGATGCGCACGATGTTCAAAACCAACGCGTACCGCGAGAACGATGCTGTGGAGACGCATGGCGAGGAGGTGCGCGTTTCCGCGGGAGTATTCAGGAGCCTGCTTAAGTCGCAGGACGAGAGCGCGCAGAAGGTGGCCCGCTTGGAAACTCTGCTTTTGGAGGCGCTGGCGAAGTCCGATGGGGGGTTCCGTCGGCGCAAGGCGGAGCGGCAGAGGGATCCCGGGCAGGGATGCATGAACCCAAAGCGCCAGCGTCGCGGCGAGGCAGTGGCAGACGTTGAGGAGGATGACGATGAGGAGGAAGACGATGACTACGAGAACATGGCACAAATTCGCACGCGTCGGAAGCACATGCGCTCTGCGAAGTCGCTTGTTCTGCAGCGCGCACTTGATCTGCTGCCGGCCGACAAGGCTTGGAAGGTGGGATGTGCTACCAAGCGTGTAACATTACTTTTGGAGCGTGTGCTTTCTGCCGTGCGATGGAATGTTGTGGAGCATTGGACTCATTCACAATTTCCCATGGTACCCGACTTGTGTGCAGCGCCTATGCGAGCTGGTCCGAGTGCAGCTGTTCTTGAAGAAGCCAGCCGCAACCATGACTTTCTATCCGAGCTCAGACGACAAGACTTATGGCGTTTCCGCAGTGATTGAGCGCCTGCCGCATAGCTTCGCGTGCCTTGCGCTTGCCGCGGACAAGTCCCGTCGTGCTGACCTTAACAAGACGCTGAGCGAGTGGAAGACAAGGGCAGCCGGACGGGTCCAGGACATTGCGCTCCCTAAGCTTGGATTCTTCCGTGATGAGCGCGACGAGGCAAGCCCGTGGGCAAGGGACAACGCACGCACGCTGGAGCAGATTCGGGAGCGCATTGGGCTCGGTGCGGAGGAGAGCGGTAAGCGGTGTTCTGGTGCTTTTAGACAGTGGTGAGGTGTGATTTTGTGCTTTTAGTCTTTAAACCCCACCATTCTATCCGCGGTGTGTACGACAGATCTGGTGCTGAGCAACTAGTCAAACGACTGCGACGGGATGCCCTTTGCGTCTGCCGCGTTTGCGGCGTGCGCAAAGGCTGCCTTCATTCCGAAGAAGGCTGCACTGCCGCTGGCTTTGAAGGTGTACCACCTTGCGTGGCTGGAGCACGTGGTGAGTGACATTGTATGACTTTGGTGGTTAGTTTGAATATGGCTGTAGTCTTACAAGGTGTGCGCGGTGTGTATTTCCTTTCAGGTGTCCGACAGCATCATGTATTGGGAGCAGAGGATGGGCCGCCTCTCTAGCTCGGCCGGGGGGAACGGCCACGTCGTGAACGGGCTCAAGGTGCTTGTGAAGGGCTCCGTTTCACAAGCCATCCGTCACTTCAATCCAGAGTACGACGACGAGAAGGAGGAATGATTTGGGGACGCCATGGCCTCCGCCTTTCTGCCTGTGGTCTTGAGAACATGAAGCCTAATGCTGGCGCTAGCGGCAGAGACGGCGCCGGGAATGATGTGCAGTCGGTGTCAGTCGGGGGCGTGTAGAGCAGCGGGGAGGGGGAGGCCGGGATGTTGGAGGGCATAGACCTGCCCTGGAGTGGGATGATCGGGGTTGTGTGTGCGCTTTTGATATTTATGTTCCGTGTTTGGGTTTTCTGGTTGCTATAATTCCACCTAAGTATACGGTGTTTGCAGGTAGATAGACGGTTGTGTTAAATGTATTGTGATGCTTGTTTTGTATGGGTTTAGTGGACATGGTTTGGTGCTTTTTGTACTACAATAGTGCGCGGGGATGAGAGTGTGGAAATCACGAAATGAACATAAAAACCCGAACCGCTTGTGAAATGCGCCGCATTTGTCACCGCGGTAGTCGGAGAGTACCTGATCAGGCAATGATTGCCGGATCCGGCCATACAGTGAGCAACACGCGGGTTGCCGTGATTGGCGAAAAAGGTTGACGAGGTACCATATGCGGTAGATGATGAGTGTAGGGGCCGGCACGCATTTGGCGCATTTGGCACCATATGCGCATTTGGCGCATTTTTCTGACAGGTGTATAGGTGACGCGTGTCGTTGTAATGTTGGTTCGTTTCTATCCACCGTGGACGCCTCTCATGATGCCGAGATTTGTGCGAAGCAGGAAGTGTGGTGCAGGCGACAATGTTACAAGCGGTGCGATAGGGCGACAGGGCGACACGTGCACGACGGTGGTTTTTGGGTGATGGGCATCCTCCCTGAGCGGTCGTAACGAGGTGGTGCGACGCGTAGGAGCCGTGTGGCTTGTAGGCGCACGCATAAGTGATTTCAGGGGCGATTTCCCTAAAGTGTCTGTGATACGTGGTGGCCTTTGAGTTGTTGCTCGAGTGTTGGGCGAGGAGGATGCACGTATACAAGTGGATGGGCGACGCACGCGAAGTCACTGTGAGATGGGGTTACACGTAGTACGATGACGGGTGATGAAGACATGTGGGACATGCGGGTTATCAACAGGCGCGTGGGTATTATGTGTCGAGTAACGGAGTGGGTTGCACGTGGCGGGTTCGCAGTGGTGCGCGGCATTCAACGCTCGAGAAATGAACGGCCTGGATGTAGACTGTAATCCCAAATCAATGCAACTGTGCGGGCTGGCGAAAGTGTAACTTGTAGGGCGACTTGTGGAGCACATTACACGTGAACAGTGCCGATTTGGTGTTGTGGTGCGAAATCACGCGGCTGTGGTAGGTTCGGCATGTCTTGGCGGTGTACGCTTACGTGGCAGGTACGGGTGTAACTGACGTACACGTGGGCACGTGTACGTCCCCGCAGGTTTTGGTTGCTAGGAGGTTTGTGTGATGGGTGGTGGCGGAGCAACGTTATCGTGATTGTGTGAGTTACGTGGGGGGTTACTGTATGCCATTCATAAAGTTGCCCGGACACTTGCGTGCTGGATGCGGGAATCTGCACACCGTGTTGAGGGAAAGTGACGGAAAGGTTACGGTTGCAGTTACTGACGCTACCACTGTTGCTGAGTCAAACCTTTTTTTTGCGTGGCGAATGCAACTGCAAAGTTACGAACGAGCCATTTTAAAGTTTTTTCTGGCACTTGCCTTTTCCGCGATGGAGAGGAGACAGCAACAGCAGCGATTACAGCAGGTGGGCCAGCAGGGGCAGGAGGGGCGGGCTAGTAGGGGAGAGGAGGGAGGACAGCAAGGGCAGCAGCAAGAGGGTCAGCAGGGGCAGCAGCAGGAGGGTCAACAAGGGCAACAGCAGAAGGGTCAGTAGGGGCAGGCTACTAGGGAAGAGGAGAGGGGACAGCGGCGGCAACAGCAGCAGCATGGCCAGCAAAGGAAGGAGGGGCAGGTTGGTGGGGGAGAGGGGAGAGGACAGCACAGCCAGCAACAAGAGGTTCAGCAGGGGCAGGAGAGGCCGGCGAGTGGGGTAGAGGAGAGGGGACGGCAGGGGCAGCAACGAGAGGGCCAGCAAGGACAGGGTATGGAGGGGGGGGATAGGGCGAGGGTGCGGGGGGTTTTGGGGTTGGGAAGAGGGGATGGTAGGAGGCAGGTGGGTGGGGGAGAGGATAGAGGGGCAAAAACGACAAGGGAGGAGGCACAGAGGGACCAGGCACAGCAGCAGCCAGTACAGCAGCAAAGGCAGGCTGGACGCACAGGCCGCATAGGGACACCAGCCCGCATCCCAGACCTGACTTGCCGCGATATTGAAAAAACTTTGATGGTGTTGGTAGACGTCTCCATTGCAGATCCACAGCAACAGGGGAATACCAGGCTTAGACGAGTGGCTCCAGTGAAGATGGGTGTTGCAGCAACTAGACGAGTCCAGGACAAGTTGCGGGATTGGGCACCGCATCTAGAGGGATTACAACCGCCGCCACATTTTTATGGATATATAGTGGAGACGTTCGGGTTGCTCAACGAGCCAATGAGGCAGTTTCTGTCAAGTTTATATGCTATGGTCTATCTAGGCTGTAGTGGGGTAGATACTATAGGGTACAACATTTCTAGGTTTTCTACTTGTACTCACATTTCACCTAGTCATTCATTCCTCGCATGGTATAGAGCAGGTTCCCTAGTGGGAACGTTTCCTAGGGCCCACCACGAAAATTGATTTTTTTTTTCCTGCCCGGAGCGCGCTTCGCTCCACCTTGAGTCGCGCCCCGTGTACCTGCCCTCCCGTCGCGTCCCCTGCCCTTAGCGGCCCGTCGCGCCCTCTTACGGCCCCGTAGCGGCCCCTCTCACGGCCCCTCGTGGCCCCTTCGCGGCTCCCTCGCGGCCCCTCCGCGGCCCTTCGCGGCCCCTCTCACGGCCCTTCGCGGCCCCTTTGTGGCCCCTTGCGGCCCCTTCTCGGCCCCGTCGCCGCCCTTTGCGGCCCCACGCGGCCCCTTCTCGGCCCCGTCGCCGCCCTTAGCGGCCCCTCACGGCCCAATCTCGGCCCCGTCGCCGCCCTTCGCGGCCCCTCACGGCCCCTTCTCGGCCCCGTCGTCGCCCTTCGCGGCCCCTTCACGGCCCTTCGTGGCCCCTTCGCCGCCCTTAGCGGCCCCTTCTCGGCTCCTCCGCGGCCCCTTCTCAGCTCCTTCACGGCCCTGCCGCCCCGCCGTTGCCGCCCCAGCAGCAGCAGCCGTCGCGCCGTACCAGCCGCCGCCACCACTGCCGGGGCCGCCGCCGCCGCCGCTGCCGACAGCAGGAGCCGCCGCCGCCGCTGCCGTGACAGCCACCGCCGCCGCTGCCGTGACAGCAGCAGCCGCCGTCGCCGCCGACAGCAGCAGCCGCCGCCGCCGCTGCCGTGACAGCCGCCGCCGCCGCTGCCGGGGCCGTAGCCGCCGCCGCCGCCGCCACCAGCAGCAGCTGCCACCGCTGCTGCCGTGACAGCCGCCGCCGCCGCTGCCCGGGCCGCAGCCATCGCCGCCGCCGACAGCAGGAGCCGCCGCCGCAGTCGCGGCCCTGTCCCTGCCGGCGCATCTCGGCCCTGCCCCACCACTTGCGGACTTCTACCCACCCGCCCTGGTAAGAGCACCGCCGAGCCGCGCCTTTGCTACCGAGCTGCTCCTAGCCTGCTGCTACTGCTGCTAGCCTCCTGTTGCTACTGCTGTCATGGCTACCCCTAGCGTTCTCACATTTGATGCTGAGGGTCGGGCTGTCGACTTTGAGGTCTGGGTCGATCATCTGCAGCTTTTCCTGCATGGCGATAGGAAAGACAGTCTCTCACTGTTCGATCCCACGTCTGGCGCCTCTACTGCCCCTACTGCCGATGTTGACAGCACTGTTCGCTCACAGTGGGCCACACGCGATGCTGCTGCCCGTCTTGCTGTGCGTAGTCACTTGCCGTCCACTGAGCGCGCGCACTTTAGTCAGTACAAGAGTGCTAAGACCTTGTACGACGCTGTAGTTGCACGCTACTCTTCCCCTGCCACTACTGCCCTTAGCCGCCTCATGCTGCCGTACCTGTTCCCTGTTCTCGTCGCCTTTCCCACAGTTGTTGACCTCATTATGCACCTTCGCACTAGTGACACCCGCTACCGCGCTGCGCTTCTTGCTGAGTTCGGCACCAAGAACCCCCCCCCCCCCCCCCCATGTACATCACCCTCTACTACATAGTCACCCGGCTCCCTGACTCCCTTCGCTCGGTCAGGGACCACTTCCTCTCTGTTTGCCCCACCACACTCATCGTTGACCTCCTCGAGGAGCGCCTCCTGGCAGCTGAGAAGAGTATAGTCACTGTAGAAGCCTCTCGTGGTGACCCTCGTTCCCCCTTCTTTGAGGGGTGCTCCCCCTCCCCCCATTTGCCCTCTCTTGCCTCTGCTGTTGCCGTCGACTTCGTTGGTACCGAGTCGGTCGGCGCTGCGTCTGCCCCTTTTGGGAGACGCCACACAGGCAAGGGCAAGGGGGGCAAGGGCGCTGAAGGAGCTGGCGGGGGCGGTGGAGGTGGCGGTGGAGGCGGCGGAGGGGGTGGGGGTGGCGGTGGGAGTGGTGGCGGGGGTGGGGGCAGTGGAAGCGGAGGAGGCGGAGGAGGCGGCGCTGGCGGCGGTGGCGGAGGTGGCGGCAGCGGCGGTGGAGCTGGTCGGGGTGGCTCTGCGCAGCGGGGCGTCTTCGGTGGCGGTCAGCGCTAGCAGCAGCAGCGCACTCGTGAGACCCCGCCCCCCCAGTAGCTTCGTGAGTGGTACGCTGCGCGTCAGCGGGGTGGGGGTGCTGGTCCGTGTGCCTACGTCCTGCGTATCGGCGACCGCACTGGTGAGCCGTGCGGTGGCCCACACACAACACAGCGCTGCTTCGGCTGCCTGACAGACGCTTGGCGTCTCCAGTTCCCTGACGCCACTGAGATCCCACGCTGTGGCGAGCTGCTTAGGTCGGGGGTTGCTATCATTGATCTGTATTATGATGCTATTCTTGCTGCCATGTATGCTGTGTCTACTAGTGATGAGGGTGACCGTTACCTGTATGTTCCGCCTGACCCGGGCATCGAGGCTGCTGCTCTAGGTGCATGTGAGGCTGTTGCTCTAGGTGCTAGTGCGTCAGCTGCCCCAGGTCCTGGTGAGTCTGCTCTCTCAGGTACCACGTCGGCTCAGGCCTTACTCACCTTCACCCTTGACTCGGGTGCTTCCCCCTCCTTCTTTCGAGACCGCACCACACTCACGCCGCTTAGTCGGCCAGTTGCGGTCTCCCTGGCGGACCCCTCTAGGGGTCCTGTCCTTGCCCACTTCTCCACTATCTTACCATGTCCGGCGGCCCCTTCTGGCACCCTGTCGGGTCTTTACCTCCCCTCTTTCTCTACGAACTTGGTGAGTGGTGCTGATCTACAGGATAGGGGGGTTGACCAGTTCACTCCTGCGAGTCAAGGGTGACCCACTGTACGTGTGCTCGAACGGGCCGACACTTGGCCACCTTTACCGTCAGCCAAGGTCGAGCCTGTACACACTGATTACTGAGTCTCCTCCGGTTGCTGAGTCTGGTCGAGTAGCTGCGTTGTGTCAGGTGTTTGCTGCAGCGTCCAGGTCTGGTCCTGAGTCTGCCCCCTGCTCGTGTCGCCTCCTGTCCCACCAGACCCTCCTCTGGCACCACCGCCTTGGTCTCCGAGGCATGGCCTCCCGTTTCCTTGTCCCTGGTCTCCCCCGGTACCTCCCTCCCCTCCCTCTGGGGCCTGCCCCTACCTGCGTTCCCTGCGTCGAGGGGCAGCAGCGCGCCGCTCCTCACTCCTCCGAGTTTCCTCCAACAGAGGTTTCGTTGCAGACACTTCACCTGGACGTGTGGGGCCCTGCCCGCGTCCGTGGCCAGGGTCACGAGCGTTACTTCCTGTTGGTGGTTGACGACTACTCGCGTTACACCACGGTTTGCCCCTTACGCAGAAAGGGTGACGTCAGTGAGGTGTTGATCGACTCGATCCGCGCAGCTCGTCTCCAGCTCAGAGAGAGTTTCGGCTCGGACTTTCCTGTTCTACATCTGCACTCTTACAGAGGCAAAGAGTTTTCCTCTGACCTCCTACAAGCCTTCTGTCGTGCACATGGCATCCGTCAGATGTTCACGCTTCCGGCCAGTCCACAGAAAAATGGGATTGCTGAGCGCCGCATTGGCATGGTTATGGACGTCGCTCGTACGTCCATGATCCATGCGGTTGCTCCCCATTTTCTGTGGCCGTTTGTGGTTCAGGGTTCTGTGACTCTGGTTTTGAGCCTGCGGTTGCAGGGTATGGGGGTGCTGAGCCTGGGGGTGCTGAGCCTGGGGGTGCTGAGTCTGGGGGTGCGGAGCCTGAGGGTGTTGGGCCGGCTCGTGTGGAGTCTGGCGGTATTGGGTCTGGAGGTCCTTCGGGTACTTCGTCCCGGCGGGAGCTACCCTTTCCACAGGAGCTGCGCGAGTGGTTTGCTCGGCGCTGGAGCCGTGCTGCTGGAGCTGGAGGTGCTGCTGGAGGTGGAGGTTCTACTGCTGCTGAGGGTGCTGGTGCCATGGGTCCCGGAGGTGCTCGTACTGGAGGTACTGGAGCTGCTGGGCCTGGGGGTGCTCCTGGTGCTGAAGCTGGGGCTGTTGAGTCTTCCGGTGGTCCGGCTGGAGTTGGAGCTGCTAGGGGTGTTGGCGCTGGAGGTGGTGCTGACGCTGGTGCTTCTGAGGGTGCTCGAGTTGGCCGTGCTGCAGCTGGGGGTGCTTCTGGTGCTGGTGCTGCCGCTGGAGGTGCTGGTGCTGTCCCTGCTGGCTCTGGAGGCTCTGCGCTACCGCGGCCGTACTTCGTTCTGCTCCTTGAGCAGGTTCTTCGTCTCCAGCCTTCTGCTGGTCCTGCTCCTTCCTCAGAGTGTCCGCCGCCTGTCCAGTCTGAGTCGCAGTTCCAGCCCGCCTCCCCACTGCCTGCTCCTTCTCCCTACACTGGTCCTACTGGAGGTCTTGCTGAGCGTCGTGATCCTGCGTCTTGTCCTACATAGCTTGTTCGTGCTACTCGCACTAGTCGTCGTGTTTCGCGTCCGCGTCCTTTTGCGGTCCCAGGCACAGACCAGATGGCACTGCGTCCTTCCACTGCTCCACTGCGTGTCCCTTTGCCGTCTCCTCTAGAGTCCTCTCTTGCTGCTCTTGCTGACCCGGAGTCTGACTCCCTTTGTGCTGCCAGTCCTAGTGTCACGCGTCTCCTGGCTACTGTTATCGCTGACCCTTCCTTTGAGTCCACTACTACGTCTTCCTTAGTTGCTGAGCTTGTTGACTTTGCTGCTCACTGTCGTCTAGATTACGCTGCTAGTCTTGTTGCTGAGTCTGATTCTGTCTGT